GATTAACGAACGTGTCGACGAAAGTACACGTCAGTTCTGCATATACAGCACGTCATAATAGAACTATAGAAGTGTAGGTATAGAACAATATGACAAATTCTAAAAATTACCTGCACTTACAGAATATCATAAAATTGAAGATAACAAGTACCTAATACCTAAGTACCTAGACATAATGTAGTTATTATATCATGTACCTATATAAATATATAATACATATACATATATGTATATATATTATAGTATATTATGTTTAAAAAAATGTACTATTCATACACCACTGGTAAAAACCGGATTCCATAACAATATTTTTTAAATGTTAAATATTATGATATTATGCAGTTTTGAAAAATGTTATATTTATATATAGGTACCTACCTAGATGTTATTCCTTGATTTTTACGAATTTTGTCAATTTTGAATTTAAAATATGCTCATCAAAATCGTATAATATCTTAATATTTTTAAATAGCTTTAATAATAACTTATGAGGAACTTATTTTCTTAGGAGGAACTTCAATTTTAAAGCTTTTTAACTCTTATTATCGATATTAATAGAAAAAAAACTTTTTAAAAATAGTATTATAACTATTATTATCGTTTATAATCGTAATATTTTAGTATAATATAATCATACTTTATACTAATGTAAACAGACCATAGATATATACAACAACTAGATAGCCGTCTCCTTCTTGTCATCGAAGTCGGTCGCCATTTACAAAGCAGGCAATGTTTACAAAATAATATTATCATCGTATATATGTATAGATAAATATATATGTATATAATTAAATGTAAAATAAATGTAAACATCGCCTGCTTTGTAAATGGCGGCCGATTTCAATATTGATCACAACTGTAGTATAATGACGGCTATCTAGTTGTTGTATATATCTATGAAACAGACAGCCTCAATTCTTATCTATGATTGAGAGCAAAACTAACACAGCGAAGATTTTCAAGAATAAAAATTAGATCTTATCGAAGTCCGACATTGAAGTCACGGACTAAGATATCTTAGTCCGTGGAAATAATTAACCAGAGGCACTCCAAGAGGCAGTATTAAGCCCCGTTCACACGGTCAAATATTTTATGTACCTACGTCAAACTTTGTTGACGAACGTCAAATAATTGACAAATTACTTGATCGTGTGAACGGGGCTTTACAATTAACCAATTATAGATATTATAATATATAAGTGTAAAATTAGTTCTAAATGTCGACACATAACGTTGAGTGTTAACATCAAGCACTATTTTTTATGGTAGTTAATTATTAACAGCTGGTTTATACAGTCACTTTGTAAACAATATGTGTAACCTGCATATCTTTAATCGTGCTATCCATCCTGGTATAATATAATATTGTCTATGAGCGTACCACGGTCTTGGAAGATCTTCTATGCAAGGACTATAATACCTACCTACAATGGATTGGACACGAGTAGTTTATCAGTGGCCTCGACAGTCGAAAGTACGTTCAAGATTCGAGAGGCAAATGCGACGGGACGCAATGATTATCGAGATTCGAGAGAGTAAAAAACGCCAACAGCTGCGTGACAAAATATATTATCTATTTCGATCAGCTGTATAAAACACGGATAAAATAATTATATGAGTGACGTGTTAATATGACGCTAAACAAAACCACCGGGAGCACTGAAAACATTCAATGAACAGTGTTGCCAGTGTTGAATTTTGGTGATACAAAGGAAGCTTTTGCGCGCCGTCCCCCGTCACCCGCCCACCATGTCGTTACAAATGCGTTTTTATCAACAATCAATATTGTGAAACGATTTTTTTGAAGGCGTCTTTCGTGGAAGGAAAACACGTTGGTCGTTGACAAACAAACGATAAACACGACCCTAATAACCGCATAAATTGTTCAAATTATTATTGACGTACGGACTATTCAGTAAGACTTAAAGAAGAAAATAGAAATATTAATACAGGTAATTATCGCGTAGCTCTTTTTAAATATCTTAAATGTCTTAATATAATTCTGCAATCGTATAGGAAATAAATGCTTATTTTCCAAAATGTGTGTTTTAAGGCTTTTCCGTTTTCCATACTTTGTGTTTCGAAATTCTACCGAAACCAAAGTGAAACGACTTGGTAGTTGGACGCCTTGACGGATGCGTTAAGATTCTAACGACCAACACGACAGCAACTTGACACAGATTACAATAATCTTTGATCATATTATTATTGATTTACAGTCAAATTTAAAGAAGAAAAAAAAATACTATTACAGGTAATTATTGTGTAGCTCTATTTAAATGTTTTAATATAATTCTCATTATTTGAGAAATAGATATAATTAGAGTAGCAAGTAACAATACACATTGATATTGGAAAGACTTTGATATGATCGGCACAAAGATTATGTAGTTTCTCCAATCGACAATCATATATCAGTTAGACATATAAATACCTACTGAATCACCTAAGAACTTTAATATTTGGGCACTCATTGGAGTGAAAAGTTTGTGTATAGACAAGTAGTAGGTACATACAGTGGCTTCATTTCAGTTTTTATTAGACTAGGGCAACTTCTCCCTGCTTCTCCGACTCAACATTTTTTTCACTCAGATTCTCATAGCATAGTGCAATAGTGGTTAATGGGGGGAGGGGTGGTAAATGTGTCAACTTAAGGTTGATGTAAATACTAGACTGGGGCAAATGCCCCAATTGCCCCCCCCCCCTACCACTGGGTACATAAAAATAGTAAGTGACAATAATTTTTTAATTAAAAATGTTTGTGATTTATTAACAGATAAAAATCAGCCTTTGACATATGACTGTATACTCTAGCTGTATGTATACGATTATACCATGTGCCAAATTGTATAATATTGCTCGTTTTTTTCCAGCTAAAGTTTGGTAAATAATTAGTTTTAGTAATAATAATTATACTGATAATTTATTACAGAATTTAGTACTGTTGATTTCAATATTAGTTGCTAAGTATATTTTTTCTTATCAGTAGTTTTTACTAAGTTACATTATTTAGATACAATTTTCTTCAACAGTATCATGTTCTATGGGAAAGTTAATAGTGTTTGTGTATTCAGGAGGTAAAAATGTAAAATTCCCAATATTAACCCATTATCAATTTTCAATTTTTTTTAGTTTTTTTGTCTATGAATGTTAATAAAATTGTATTTGTTGGGTAAAAAAGCTTGAAAATTTAATATAAGGCACTTAATATAATTTTACAATGACATTTAAAAATATTAAAAATCCAGTCACAATTTTTTTTTTTATATGTATTTAAAGTTGGCATTTTGACAAAAAACGTAAAAATCACAAAAATGTGCAAATTATTTTGAGTTGAAAATTGATAAAAAATGTTCTTTTTAAATGTAATACATGATTCTTTATAAGGCGTTATAAGGCTATCTACTTTTATCAAAAAAAAAAAAAATATATATCTTTAAGTAAGTCAAATTAAATTTTTATGAGAGTTTGAAGTTCAAACTTTTACAACATTGGATATTGACTCCATTTCTCATGAAGCGATTTTCTTATTTTGTTGTAATTCAAAAACGAATAACCATAGTCACTTAATACTTATATCATGTTTATTTTATAAATTCCTATACTTGATAAAATTTTAAATATATTTTGTCTTTTTGTGAGCTGTTTACGGACAGTTTCAAATTTAAATGTTTTTTTCTATAAATTTCAATAATAGTTTATTTGTTGGGGTAAAGTGTAAAATGTAATACAAGGCTCCTGATATATTGCTTAAATAGCAGTCAAGCCCGGATTAAGGGGGGGTCCAGGGGGGGGCCATGGCCCCCGGGCCTCCATTTATTTAGGGGCCTCAGATTAGTCCATTATAGGCTATAACACCTCATAAATCACTTTAAAAAAATCGATGATTATTTAGCGAGGAAAAAAGCTTGTAAATTATAATTTATAAATAAAATGATACTTAATTCTTGATTTATTGCTATGTACCTAATACCTATATATATTTATTATAACAGGTACCTATATATTAATATACATTATTTTTTTTTCGTACAGGGGCCTCATTTAAACTTTGGCCCCTGGGCCTCAAAATGTCTTAATCCTGGCTTGATAGCAGTTGAAAAATATTAAAAATTCATAGGAACAATATTTTTATAAGCATTTAAAGTTTGATTTTTGACATTTATCAAATTTAAATTTAAAAAATGATTTTGTAGTTAAAATTGTATATAATGTTAAACTTTTATTGCTAAGGATTGAAAACTTACAACAAAGTTAGTGTGGAATCTCCCTGATAATATAATATTAATATCAATTTTTCGTTCATTTTAGAAATGTAACTCGTATACTAATGTTATTATATTTACTATACTGTTTATTATATTTTTATACTTATGTTACTGTATTTATTCATTATTAATATAATATGTCACTATGTATTCAGTATTTCAGTGATTTTCTAAAACTATGTCAGACGTTTTTCTTGTATCGATGGTGTAGTTAGTAATGCAAAATCATCAACCTATAATATTATAATCAATCAAACTTAACCCAACATAAAACTATGGAAATTAAGTATGGTGTATTTTATGACAGAATTAATTTTTCAGCAATTTCATACGCTTTGAAAAAATATAACCAAAATTAAGGATCTACATTTTTTGTGTTTTGGCATACTTGAAACATATTTCAATAATTGAGTGTTCGGTTATGCATTATAATATATCTCCGTTATAATATTTATAGTTTTTGTTTATAACCCGAGTAAGTTATCTATTTTCATAGTCTGTGGATAATTTTTCAAATGTTTGTCCTACTTTACAGGTCTTTTTTTTATCAAGTTGCCACATTTTTTATTTAAAATGAATCTAAAAAGATTACAGAGATAATAAATTAATAACCCACCATACACCCATATTACACCCATATTACATATTATATTTTAAAATAGATTTTATTTTAATATTTTATCATTAATACTATACATTTAGTAAAAAAGATTTAATTTTGTTTTAGTGATGATGAATAATTTATATGATGAAGATTATAGAGAAATGCTGAAATATTTCCGGTCTGGTGATTTGAGAGCATTATTGGAAGCTTTCGGAAAAAATAATCTAGGACAAAGAACTGAATTACGAGAACGGGCAATTGAATTGTTAAATTCTAGACCAAAAGATCTTAACTATGTAGCATATCTATCAAAAATATATGATATATACCATCTCTTGCCATGTCATCCATCTGTTTTTCCTAATGATAATACAATGCTCAGTGCCATGCAAACTCAACAAAGTCAGATGATGTCTATAAGTCAGATCCCACAACAAAGAATGTATCGACCGCCACAATATCAACAATCAATGTATACGCCCCAATATCAACAATCAATGTATACGCCACAATATCAACAATCAATGTATACGCCCCAAGCTAGATTGCCACATCTTATGACCAAAATGGAGGGAGGCATATATGGAAACGCCACTGGTGCAAATACTATTCCTGAAAACACTATGGCTAACAATCAAATTGAGTATGTGTCTGTCAGTTATCAGCCAGTGAGATCTCGAATTATTGTACCATCCCCTCTTCCGTCCCAAATGCCCTCATATCAACAAAACATGTATACAATGTTACAAAATACGTTGAGGTCTGTTTTGAATGCGGCGGCTCTAAGAAACAATAATGCTCTTATCCCATCTCCTCAAATTGTAGCCAATTACAAGTTTAAAAATCTACCATTTTATGATGTTATTGATGATATCATTAAGCCAACTCTTCTAGATGGTTCAGAAATATGTACATTATCAAACTTTGCTAAAGGTAGCAACATTTTTTTTACCTCTCTTTTTAAATTTATTTTATTTTTAATAGTGATATTATTTCAGGTATGAGAGAATGTACATTTGAACATACTATGTCAGTCGAACAAGCAACGCTTATTTCAATGAACCGGGACATTTCCCCTGGTAAACCTGAATATTATGGTATTCAGTACCAAATAAGGATTTGTCAGTTGGAAAATGGCGTGTATGATGAGGTATCTGATTGTTTGCCCATTGGACTTCATATTCGAGTTTGTAATAATTATTGTACATTGCCACCTATTGTTACTCGTGATCGTGAACTATCAGAAATGAAGTCTAGACGAGCTTCTAGACCTATCAATATTGCTCAGTTTATGAAACTTTGTCCATTTACTAAAAATGTTATCACTGTAAATTGGCTTCCCGATGGGAAAAATTACGCCTTAGCTATATTTATTGTAAAACAATTAAGTGCCGATACATTGATGAAAAAACTCCATGATAAAACACCAAGGAGTTCAGAAGAAACAAAAAATTATATTATTAAAAAGTTGACAAATGTTGATCCAGAGTTGACCACTACATCATCTTATAATTTTTCCTTGGTCTGTCCATTGAGTAAAGTTAGAATGAAAATACCTGCAAAATCTATCCATTGTGATCATATTCAGTGTTTTGATGCAGGTACATTTATTTTAATGAACGAGAAAAAGCCACAATGGATGTGCCCAACGTGTAATAAATCTTGTTTGTACAATGACATACAAATAGATAATTATTTTTTGGAGATTATAACAAGTCCTACACTTAGCGACGACATCAATGTAATTGAAGTTTTAGCAGATGGTTCATGGATTATACCTGAAGAAAATAAAGATACCAAAAATATGAATAGTACTATTGATAATAAAGTAAAACCGATTGATTTTATCGATTTAGATGACATTGACGATGAAGAATTCATTGAGTCGGAAGAAGAACCTAGGCCAGGAGGTTCAGAATGCCAGAAATCTAAAAATTTGAAACCACATCTTGTTGATATGACAATGGATGAGGATGAAGAACCATCAAAGCAAAAAGATAAACTGTAAAATGTGGCTCAGGCAGCAGATGTTAGACAGCCAGCTAACAAATATGAATTAAAACCATAAATTCAAGTAAACATTAAAATAAACATTTTGTCCCTACCGCTACAACTGAAGCGTCTTAACTTTTATATTAATTTTTATTATTTTTATTATTATTATAAGTGAAACAATTTTGAGACACAAATTTTTCAAATGATGATGGGGTCTATTATTTTAAAGAAGATAAAAATATTTAATATCCTTTCTGTCATTTTGTTCATAATCAATATATTTTTTTGAAATCATGGTTATAACTAATTTATACCGTCAATTTACTCGAGTCTATATAAATTCTATATAAATGTGTGCTCTGATAATGGGAAGGTATGATTTTATTTTAGTATTTTTCTTAACTATATGATTCAAATTTTTCTTATTGTGTATATTCGTACACACAATTATCTAATTAAGTTTTTTTTCACATTTTCACCCGTGAACAAATTAATTTTGTTCAATCTTTCATTCTTCATTTTTTTGTAACTCACATGTACTTATATTTTCATATTATGTAACCTAACATATAATTTGTATGACTAGCATTTTTTTTTATTAAATACTCTTTTTATATTTTCCAATTTTAACTATCTAGGTAACTTTTTTTTAACCTTTCATGTTAGTATATTATTATTTTGATTGATCATTGTACGTATAATATTTTCATGTGTTCCTACTTCCTATATAATAATTATAACCAACTTTGTTAATAATTTTTTTTTTGTATTTCCACATATGTTTTACATATGTGGCTATTTACAAATATTCATTTTTTGAATTCATTCTTATTTAATATTATTATTGTTTATAATTATATACCAGTATATACTTATACTCGTTGTGTTACAAATTATTATTTATTATTTCTATTACAACAATATGTCAATATGACATTTTTGTATAACGGATACTACTTTATTATAATATTGTAATAATGTAACTATAATAAAACCCTGGTTTTAATCTATGGTAAAGTAATCCTAGGTTAGGTAACCTAACCTACAAGATGTCAAGACCCACATATGTTTTTATAATAATAGCTGTAAAAAATATTAAAATACATGGATGCAATTTTTTTGTTCAAATTTTGACAAAACCAGTCAATATAACTAAAATTTTCAAATCATTTTGTAGTTAAATAAGGGTCAATATTTAGGCATTATGAAATTTCGTTTCCTCCGCCCATGTCATTTGTGTTAGTCGTCAATGATGATTAGTGTGAGTGTGAATTATGTGGGTACCGGGCTATGTACGCACGCACTGGCTGTGTACACATGTCAACAGCACCTCCGATCAAAAATAAAATGAGTGATTTTTTGCTCAAAACATGCTTTAAGGGAAAAACTCTCACGCATCGTAGAAAAGTCTGATTTGATTAATTTTTTTTTCGTTGGAAAGGGGATACATTTTTACAGGGCGCCATTGGACTTCGATTTCTAATTTCGTTGCTTAAAACAAATACAATAAAAATATTATATTAGTGTAAAAATTGGTCATATTCAAAATCATAATATATTATATGGCTTAGAAATAGAGTTTTGAAAATACTTATTGTTTTAACAAAATTAAAGTTAGTTAACGACTAACGTTGTCTGATTTTGATTCTGAAAAAATATTTGAATTCAGCAGAAAAATGTCTGTAGATCGTACGAAACATTTTCCGGGTTTAATATTAATTTTAATTTTAATTATGAATTAAGTTTTTAATTACAGTTATCAATAATTTAAAATTTAGTTTTTTTAAAGTGCTTCGTAGGTCTATAGACAATTTTCTGGTGAGTTCAAATTTTTTTTCCAGAATCAAAATCGGATAACGTTAACTAATATACTTCAATACTTTAGGTCTTTTCAGCTAAAATTGACGGCAGTAGCGAGGCCCCATATTATAGGTTGACCATTTCCGCCCAAAGTCCTTATTTGTATCATTATTCATTGTATACCTACCTATCAGTGTCGGCCTGGCATATAAAAGGCCTCGGCCGCAATTTTTCTCTGGGGCCTCGATTTTTTTTCTTCATTTACTATATATGAACAATTTCGTTCCTAGAGTTATTGTATATCCCCCCCCCCCCGCTCAATCAGCCAATGTGTAAATGAATTATTTTTTGTAAACTAACTTATGATATATTATGTCAGAATTCAGTTTTTTTCTTATGAATAAAAATAAAAAATGACTATAGTTGTGTGATTAACCCTTAAATAGATTTTGTATCTTACTAGATACATTATGTTTGTACAATTATTTTCGCGGAATTTGAAAAATCATTTTATTATCAGACTATTGGCTACACTGGAAGTATTCATGATAGATAAAAAAAAAATATTTGGCGGGAATGTGAATAGATATCAGTTAACAGTTATCATTTGATTGACGCGTATCAGTGAAGTTATTGTGATTACCATTTTTTCATTTTGTTAACCCGTTCTATAGGAGCGAAAACGCGTCGAGTTTTCCATGAAGTGAGCAAATTCATTAAATCAAGTCTTAACTAATATTTTCATGCATTATTTAAGTAATTTCATTAAGTCATATTGATTTCCTAGTAACTATAATATGTTGTATCTATGGAGATACAAAAATTAAATACCATTATTTATATGATATATGATATTATATGATAACTCCTACGTAAGGGCACTCTACAACTGAATCTTTAGATAAACTTTATGATAAATATTTTAAAGATTATTGATCACACTTCCAATTTTGTAAGAGATATTCCTGACTCATAAGAGCCCCATGCATTTCTTTTTTTTGTAATTCAGAATTTTTAAAAATTGTTCAACAAATACATTTTATAAACACTTTTAGTAATATCTTGTTAACATTGAAGTTTCATTAAGAAATTGTTTTAAAAGTAAGTTTATTTTCAACTTTTTCGTTCATTTATTAAGTAGTATTAAGAAAAGCATGTTTTTAAAAATTATTTTTTTATTTATTTTATTTCTATTTTTTAGTGATAACTATAAATTAGAAACAAACGATTTTTTGAAAGCATAATATTTATTATTTTCGGTACATTTGAATATTATAAGCAACTATGTAATATTATACTTTAATTATCTCAGTTCCCGCATTCTTTCCATTTCTTCAAGGGCGTCAATATTACATGGTGTTTAGTATTTTATTATCTTTATTATCTTTGTCAATCTCTATGTAGGATTTTCTTACTGTTTTAACAATGAAACGCGTTAAAAGTAATTATTATTATAATGGTTTTATAACCCATGGAAACCGTTCATAAACAAAATTTCGTACCTGTATATTATTTATTCTTCTTCCTCGGAGATGACTTTGCACACCCGTCATCGCCGACCTGGAAGTCCGGGTCCCAAAATAACAACGGATTATTGTATTGCCTTCCAAGACCTATGTCTATACCAATTTTCAGAATTTTTCATCGTAAATAAGTGCCTCAAATCGAGCGCGCAAGATTTGAAGACAACAGGAATGAAACATTGTGAGTTAAAGAAAAGCATGTAAAAAATAACCTAAATTGGTTTTTAGATCATCAATATAATATTATAGATCGTCGTATAATTTATAGAACTAAGTAATAAGAAATATGGATTATGTATCTTCAGGGATACATGTGTTAAACAGTGGCCTCGAGATTTTGTGTCCTATAAGATACATCTCATATTTCAAATTTGAGTATTCAAATTTTTTGAGGACGATGTTTTCTAAGTTCAGTGACCTTAAATAAGCCAGAAAAACCTTACTTTAAAATTTTCAGGTGCTTTTTTCGCCTAGTGAACATTTAAGGGTTAAAGTGAAACCTGTATATTGAACAGCACCGTTTGATGCTGACCGTTAAACGCCAATTATTAACGCTGACTTTTACCTCCCTCCCCCCCACTCACCAAATAGTCGCTCGATTAAAATTTTTCCACTTTTACAATTCTCTACTAAAGTCTAAAACCAAGTATTAACTTCTGACGTGCTTAATGATACACATGATTTTAATAAGGTACTAAACAAAATGTAATTCAAATTACGAAAAAGATATCATCCAAAATATAATAAAGAAGACGAACAATGAACAAAAGTTGACACAACATTACTTTTAAAGAAAGTAATAGCTAAATATAAAAAACTTAAATACTAAATGAGCAATTCATGTAACATTTTAGATGACTTAGGTAGTTATGTAGCTATTGTATCAATAATTTGAGTTTTCTGAATCTTGATATCTTTTTCAATTGCAATAAGCATTAAATGTTGTTGACTTATTGTTGATCTGATTTTAGACTTCACAAGTTTCAGTTTAGAAAATACCCTTTCACAAGTCACTTGAGTAGAGGGTAAAATAAATACATATTTATAAACTGTAAATAAATTATAAAATGAGTTTGAATGAAATGAAAGTTCTTTAATTACTTAACTTAATTGTTCTTACTTCTTTATTTCGATATAGCGCTAATGATAATAATTGATTAGACAATTTATCAAACCTATTGTACGGCCATACAGGGCCCCACACATAGACGTTATTGACTTATTGTATTTGTACTAGTTACGATTTTCCCGACAATTTTGTTGTACAAAAAATCTTATGTGCGTTCAAATCATCTCGTTTATCATTACATTTGTACTACACCTTATACGAGTAAACAGCACACCACACACGTATACACCATGACAAAATATAGATTCTATTATATCGTACTAGATAGTAGATAGGTACGTGTTTGTAGTGATTGTACACTACACTCAAATTCTATAACTTATATACACAGGGCCGGATTTAGGATTGTGGGGGCCCTAGGGCCCATCATCTGGCCATATAAGGTTGACATATAACTTACTGCATAAGCTAAAAGGTAATTATCTCGTGGGGGGCCTCTTATTAATTGAATCTTGTGGGGCCCCGGGCCCCGTGGGCTCTCTCTAAACCGGCCCCGTTTATACACTTCGTCAGTAGCGCAACTAGGCCAATTGTCACTTTCAATGAAGGGCTCTATTAAAG